TTACTATAACACTTCAATTATATTGCGCCAATCTTTCATTGCATTATATCAGCTTTTTGTGACATCATGTCAAAAAATTTTTAGTGGTGTAAAGATACATTTATATAATTTCAACTCAGTATTACATTACGTGCACTCTCTACTATTTGGTCTATGAATTTATCTTACATGTAATTTGATATCAAGTAGCTATAAACAATGTCAGAATTTCATTATATGATGTCTAAAAATTGTCACATGTGGTCAATTTTTTTACTACATTATGTCATCAATATGCTACATGACGACGTAAATAAATTTCATGATGTGAATTAGCCCTTACTTTTTTTTACAAATCGTTATTACGTTATATATGTCATTGTGTCTTTACATTGTGTCAAAAATGCACAGCCTTTTGTCAGCATACGTGTATCTTAGGCTAGGCCCTATTTCATATTGATCAGATGTGGAAAGCTCATGATATACTGTGTGCACTCTTCTACATTATGTCGATTCACTATTATGTTATGCGAACACGGTCTTATATGATGCGCATAACGTATTTTCCGCGTTCCGCAGGCACTAAAAATGGCGGGAAATTAAACAGTTGTAGAAGAAATTCTCGGCGATTTGGGAATGGCGTATTTAAATGAAAACGTAAAGCGACAAATGATTGACAATCTTGAAACATGCAGCGCAAGGCCTTCACACTGCGACTGTTAATTAATTTCAATGGGTTTACTTTAATCTGAAAATTAAATAAATCAAATATGAGTCGAGCAGCATTTTTTTTTAAATTTTCATATGATTCTTAAAGTCTTAAACTTCTTATCTTATTAAGAACATTGTCATAACTCTTTTTTTTATTTTAAAAAGTGTTAACACACCGTATTACAAACGTGCAACGGTGGGTTGGGGGTTGGGGTCATGAATCCCGTCCTTCCATCTTCAGTGACCAAGGTTAAATACGATAAATAAATTTATTGGTTTTACTTTGTAGGACATTGCTTAAGATTAGATGAATAAAGTTGAAACTTTTTTTTCTATAAAATTATAAAGCCTAAGAGCGTCTCCCCCCTTTGTCTCTAACCATTTACCGTCCCCTTTCTTGTTCAAGATTCCCATATCCGCCACTGATATGTGCCCATGCATGCTTGCTAAGGATATTCAACTGATTTAGACTAAAATATAGATTTTTGTAATAGAATTTGGAACTGGAATTACTGAAAAAATTTACTAATTCCATTGACCTAGCATCTTCTTTGAAAGGAGAGGCAGGCGCGGATCAAGGAATTAAAGTAAGAGGGGGTGCCAAAAATAGGAAAGGGCTCTGGGGGGCGCCTTGAGGCCCCAAGTGGGTCCAGGGCAAATCTATGGTGGGGACCCAAGAGGCGAAGCTTCCGGAAGCTCCTGGGTTCTAGAGATTTTGAAGGGTAAAAAATGAGGTCTACCTAGTAGACATATTTACATTTTGTTAGCTGAAACTGTGATTTACGTTTACTATGAAAATTTTAGGGGAGGGGGGGCGCCGGGTGCGCCCCCTTCAATTATTCCTCCACAGGGAGGTCAGCCAGAAAAAAATTCTACTCGAAACAAAAAACAGGTTATTTTTTTTTCAAGTATACTACATTGCCCGCGTTGGACTATACTTCAAGAAAAAGTGGGGATTGGGCTGTGCTTTCAATGAACATTACATTTTCTATAGTAAAGTTACATATGGAAAAGAGGGGGGCTGATATTATGTGCCTGAATTTCGTCCTAATCAATGAGGACCCCCACCCCTTTCTCTTACCAGTCATTAAAACACAGTCGTCAACATTCATTATATACCAGATATACAGCTTCGAGATAATGAAAATGTATTTTTACATCAGGTAATGAACTTTTGGAATCAATATGATGAAGAGTTAACACAATATAAAGATGTTTTTAAATCACATTAGAAAAGGTTGACATAAGGTAATTATATATCCAAATCACGGAATGGAGTTTTGACATTATGTAATAAAGCGCAGATATAATATAAAGATATGTTCACATTATGTTATACACTCTTTACACCACGTAATAAAGCCCTAACATGGAGGTAAGATGTGTTCACCTAACATCATGATGCTCCCGACGTATAATAAAGATAAATCCATATCACGTAATAATGCTTTGATAAAAAAGAAATATAGACTCTCAAAAAGGAATGGATTTTTGACTTCATATGTTATGATAAGTTTAAATAAAAAACAAAATTTGCTGTTAAAGTAATAAAGTTTTAACACAATGTTAACACATAATCACTTAACAAATTGGATTATTTACTTCAAGTTATGAAGTGCTGACATAATAAAAGAATGTATTTTCTCCATGTTATGCAGCTTTGACATGATGTTATGATATTTTCACATCATATCATAAAAAATGACATAACGTAAAGATATGTTCACATCACGTAATGATGAATTGACGTAATAAATGCATAGTTGTATGCTATAAGGCAGTGATGGCGTTCCATTAGCGATGATTTTTTTAGAAGGAGGTGTGGGGTGGGGATACGGTGTATGTACCAGTGTTTTCAGTGTGGTTATGGACAAAATAAAAAGAAATTAGTAGTAAATTAAATACGTAAAAACGAAAATGAACAAGCAGAATCGAAACGAAAAAAAAACTAGAACTGTCCAAAGGGAAAAAATACCCCCGCTGGGTTTTTCAGAAGAAAGTTTGTTTAATGGACGTTGAGATGGAATGCTGTCCGTTATTTCCATATCCTTCTTTTTCCATAATAATGATATGCATCAAACACGATTTATGAAATTTTTCTTCCAGTGACCTAGAGCTTCCCTAAATGACCTTCGGTCAAGGTCATGACCTACTCTTGGGTCATGGGCAATCTTTGAGTCCAGTGACCTTGAACTTCCCAAAATAACCTTGGGTCAAGATAATGATCGACACACCCTTTGGTCATGGGCAATTTTGTGTAAAATGAAAACATACCAAGTTTATCCATAAGAAAGATATGTACCGGGCACAAATGAAATTTTTCTTCCAGTGACCTTGAACTCCCCCTAATGACCTTGGGCTAAGGTCATGACACACCCTTGGGTCATGGGCAATCTTTGTGTGAAATTTATCGGAAAATAAAACTAATGACCTACATACGTTTGATTCAATGATGACCTATTATAATATCATGTGGTAAATTTTGCATTTACCTCCCCCTAGTAAATTCAAAATTTACAACATGACTTCTGCAATTACTGCGACTTTAATTCCCGGACTTACAACCAAAGAAAGCATTTTTATTATTTAAATGAATACAGAATGGAAGATGGTTTTAATATTTATCCTATATTGTTTAATGTGCGATTTTAACATACATCTGATACATTAAATAAATTCTGACTAAGTGTCAAGGTCTTATTTTTCATGTAATATTCTACAGAATTCATAATACAACGGTTGTTCCAAAAATTCGTAGACAATGTTTATAACTTTTTAAGCATGAAGCAAATACAAAACCAAATTTTGCATAGTCACAGTGTATACATGTATATTATATTCAATGTTCTTTAAAATTGTGAATTTAAGTGTCCCTTAGTCAAAAGTGGTACATATATAGGAAAAATCTTTGAAAATCTTCTTCTCAAGAACTACTGTGCCAGAAAAGCTGAAACTTATGTGGAAATAACCTGGGATAGTGTACATGTGTATTTCACTTTGCCTCTGTTAACAGAGGCATATGACGCAGAAAAAATATATCATGACGTTATAAGGGACGTAAATTACGTTTACTTCAGATGTACAATAACATATGCTTTCTTATTTTTTCATAATTTTCCTTATTAAATGTGATATCATCATGAAACTTGAAGTGCATGATCATAAAATGCAAAGAGAAACAAAACTGTTTTCCCTGTCTACGACATTTTGGGACAATCCTCGTATATATGAAATTACAACTCCTACTTAAGGACTTGGGTTCCCTATATTTAGCACCTTATAGAATTTGTCATCTAAGGCAATATTAATAAATATATTTTATATCACCAGCAGGACCATGATTATAGGATGAAAAGAGCATGATATTTTCAAAAAAATTCTACAGTCCAAGGCGAGGTAATTACAAAAAAGTCACATTTATATCTTTAAAATTTTTCATCTCTGATATACACATATGTATTTTCTTAAAATGATTTGCTTTATTACAATTGTTTGCTATAAATGTCATTTTGAACTCAAATATTATTTACAGTTACATGATAATTCTGCAAATAAAGTAAAATAAGGCATGAATTTCTTGTAGCATTTATCCAGACCAGGACTTGAACCTAGATTTACCATAATTATGGTCGCTTTTCCTTAAGCTATCTGGATTTGATTCAAGAAATTATGACCTCTTTTTAAATGAGAATATTTTTTGTCTTTTTGATTTTTTAAGCTCCCCTGAGCTAAAGATCAAATTGGCTTACATGAACACATTTTGTCTTGAGTCTATCTGTCTTTGTTTCTTCGTCCGTCTTTCTGTTCCACTGTTTTTTTAAATATATTTTATTTCTTCTAAAGAACCATCAAGTCATGATCAAATTACGCACACTGCCTGTATCCATATTTTAATATTTAAGTGTTCTTTTTTAACTGCTTAATACTTTGTCGTCTCTAAAATTCTCGGTATCAATAAAATTAACTTTTAATATTATGTATTATTTCTTTAAGATATCTACAGAAAACCGGCGTCTGTACCCAATTAAGTTGAATATCACACCTCAATATATACATGATATACACCAATTTAAGAGAAGGTATCGCGTCTTTTAGCCGCATCCAAGTTGATGTTTCGTCACTAGAACTGCACTCAAGTTGGTAAAAATTTATATTTACAAGTATTTATAATTATATTCCTAGTGGTAATACATTGAATTAACATCATAAAACACATTCAAATAGTTTTACATGTAAAATATTAATGGAATTATTTATTCCAATTCAATCAGTAATAACATGCAAATTACAAAACGTTATATCTTTATTACCTTTAAACAGATCAATGACCTCCTTGTGGATGTTGTACTCAAATGCCGTAAATGCAGAATTGGGTCACTACACATTTTCACAAAAACACAAGTTCATCCTCGTATTTCTGAATCGATACCAATATTAATCGGGTTTATTCATGATTTGTTATATTACAGATGCAAAATTTCATTGTTTGATTCTCAAAAACTCTATTCGAAACACAGTTTAATAAATAATCAATATCCTTGAACATTTAACACAATCAAGCTCATTTAAAGGTCTCAATTTGACAAGATAGCCTGCGATCCTCCACTTTGTATGTGATACATAGCATACTGCAAAACATGATAAATACATATCCAAAGAAGAACAAATACATTCACAAATGGTATTAAACTCCAATGTTTACAAAAAGTAAAGTATTTAGGCATTTACGGAAATACTGAAGCGAGCATGCGCGATTGTATATATACAAAATGCAGTCAAAAATTGACCTAACTTTGTAGAAAATCCTTCCAAGTTATGGTTATTGATACAGTTAAGAAGTCATAATTGCCCAGAATGTGTCGCTGCATCTCTTCTTTTGATTAATGACGATATCTTTTAGATATTTATTTCACTTCGTAAAGATATTCACAGAAAATCGGCATCTGTACCCAATTAGGTTGTTTATCTCACTTCGATATATATCAGCCGGACCCAAGTTGGAGTTTCGTCACTAGGGCGGCACTCACTTTTGGTAAAATGTTGTATTTACAGGTATATATAATTTTGTCTCCTAAAGACAATATTAACATCATGAAACACATCCAAATAGCTTGATATAATATACATACACCAGTACACCTTAACATTATCTCTCCCTCTCAAACGTACACACAAACACCCTCACACACACCCTTACACACACACAAACACAAAATGTTAAGTATTAAGATGGGGAAATATTTCAAACAATATTATATTTTCTGAATATTGTTAATAATTTTACTTCATTTTCCTTAATTGCTCTCGTTATATTAAATATCATTTTTGAAAAAAAAAATGATTTAAATAACATAAATAACCCACTAAGGTACAAAGAAATTTAAAGTTTTCTGTCGATTGAAAAAGTTCTTGTAAAAGATATTTATTATCAAAATGTAGATATTTTAATCCTTTTGGAAATATTTTTGTTTCATGTGTTAAACGTCTCCTAAAAAATAAACTCCAATGATTTTTCTAAAATGACTGTAGAAATGAGTAATTTTCTACGTCTAATAACCCGGTCAAATTTCTTTTAAAATATAGATCCCCGGTTTGATGTGAAATTTTACGTAGAAAAATAATTAAAATAAAATGACTCTATATTAATTTGTAAATTTTCCTTCGGGCGTGCATTTATTTAAGGTTAACTGGGTGTTTTTTTTTTTTTTTTGCTGCTTGCTCAGGTCTGAGGGTTGGCTGTACGAGTGCAACCGAGGTTCAAATCTTGAAAAAACAAGCTAAACTTTGGGGGAGTCAAAACATCTTGTCCTCAGTTGTTACTAGTGTTTTGGTGCTTTTAACCATAGTTTAATTATATTCACAAATGATGTGTTTTATTTTCATAATTATAAAAAAAATTTAAAAGTCTAACAAGCCTTTCTTTACATATTTTATTTGATATTCATATGATGCATTCATTAATTATTTACAGCAAACTTTTAGCCCGAAAGCAACTTATTGAGATATAAATGATTTTTTTTTTCATTTTCTTTGAAAGAAATTCATATAAAAAAATTAAGAGCTGATATCGGTCTTTCAATGCTGAAATCATTTTTAAAAAGGATGACTTAAAAAAGTTGGTGAGGCATTCAACCTTAATTTTATCCTGCTTTGATTTCCCTAAAGCTGAACCAAACTAAATACTAAATTAAAAGGTCACTATTAGCATTAATGTACTGCATGTAAGTGAAGCTTTGTCCCTTTTTCGTTATTGATTTAACAAAATTAAATAGTTTGGTATTTTTCAAATAACTCTATAAAATAAATCAGACCATGAAACAAACAAATCTCAGAAGGAATGAAATAACTTGACTTTTTTGACATTTTTTTTCCAGAAATCAACGGAAAAGTTCTTTCAATTTCCTTATTTTTGATGGAGTTATTTATTTCAATCCAATCAGTAATAGCATGCAAATTACAAAGCGTTATATCTTTATTACCTATAAACAGATCAATGACCTCCATGTTGTACTCAAATGCCGTAAATGTAGAATTGGGTCACTACACATTTTCACTAAAACACAAGTTCATCCTCGTATTTCTGAATCGATACCAATATTAATCGGCTTAATTCACGATTTGTTATATTACAGATGCAAAATTTCATTGTTTGATTCTCAAAAACTCTATTCGAAACACAGTTTAATAGAAAATGGTATTAACTCCAATGTTTACAAAAAGTAAAGTATTTAGGACATGTCGCCATCATTTACGGAAATACTGAACTGAGCATGCGCGATTGTATATATACAAAATGCAGCCAAAAATTGACCTAACTTTGTAGAAAATCCTTCCAAGTTATGGTTATTGATACAGTTAAGAAGTCATAATTGCCCAGAATGTGTCGCTGCATCTCTTCTTTTGATTAATGACGATATCTTTTAGATATTTATTTCACTTCATAAAGATATTCACAGAAAATCGGCATCTGTACCCAATTAGGTTGTTTATCTCACTTCGATATATATCAGCCGGACCCAAGTTGGTGTTTCGTCACTAGAGCGGCACTCACTTTTGGTAAAATGTTGTATTTACAGGTATATATAATTTTGTCACCTAAAGACAATATTAACATCATGAAACACATCCAAATAGCTTGATATAATATACATACACCAGTACACCTTAACATTATCTCTCCCTCTCAAACGTACACACAAACACCCTCACACACACCCTTACACACACACAAACACAAAATGTTAAGTATTAAGATGGGGAAATATTTCAAACAATATTATATTTTCTGAATATTGTTAATAATTTTACTTCATTTTCCTTAATTGCTCTCGTTATATTAAATATCATTTTTGAAAAAAAAAAATGATTTAAATAACATAAATAACCCACTAAGGTATAAAGAAATTTAAAGTTTTCTGTCGATTGAAAAAGTTCTTGTAAAAGATATTTATTATCAAAATGTAGATATTTTAATCCTTTTGGAAATATTTTTGTTTCATGTGCTAAACGTTTCCTAAAAAATAAACTCCAATGATTTTTTTTAAATGACTGTAGAAATGAGTAATTTTCTAGGCATGGGGATAATTTTCGTCTAATAACCCGGTCAAATTTCTTTTAAAATATAGATCCCCGGTTTGATGTGAAATTTTACGTAGAAAAATAATTAAAATAAAAATGACTCTATATTAATTTGTAAATTTTCCTTCGGGCGTGCATTTATTTAAGGTTAACTGGGTGTTTTTTTTGCTGCTTGCTCAGGTCTGAGGGTTGGTTGTACGAGTGCAACCGAGGTTCAAATCTTGAAAAAACAAGCTAAACTTTGGGGGAGTCAAAACATCTTGTCCTCAGTTGTTACTAGTGTTTTGGTGCTTTTAACCATAGTTTAATTATATTCACAAATGATGTGTTTTATTTTCATAATTATAAAAAAAATTTAAAAGTCTAACAAGCCTTTCTTTACATATTTTATTTGATATTCATATGATGCATTCATTAATTATTTACAGCAAACTTATAGCCTGAAAGCAACTTATTGAGATATAAATGATTTTTTTTTTTCATTTTCTTTGAAAGAAATTCATATAAAAAAATTAAGAGCTGATATCGGTCTTTCAATGCTGAAATCATTTTTAAAAAGGATGACTTAAAAAAGTTGGTGAGGCATTCCACCTTAATTTTATCCTGCTTTGATTTCCCTAAAGCTGAACCAAACTAAATACTAAATTAAAAGGTCACTATTAGCATTAATGTACTGCATGTAAGTGAAGCTTTGTCCCTTTTTCGTTATTGATTTAACAAAATTAAATAGTTTGGTATTTTTCAAATAACTTTATAGAATAAATCAGACCATGAAACAAACAAATCTCAGAAGGAATGAAATAACTTGACTTTTTTTGACATTTTTTTTCCAGAAATCAACGGAAAAGTTCTTTCAATTTCCTTATTTTTGATGGAGTTATTTATTTCAATCCAATCAGTAATAGCATGCAAATTACAAAGCGTTATATCTTTATTACCTATAAACAGATCAATGACCTCCATGTTGTACTCAAATGCCGTAAATGTAGAATTGGGTCACTACACATTTTCACTAAAACACAAGTTCATCCTCGTATTTCTGAATCGATACCAATATTAATCGGCTTAATTCACGATTTGTTGTTGATTACAGATGCAAAATTTCATTGTTTGATTCTCAAAAACTCTATTCGAAACACAGTTTAATAGAAAATGGTATTAACTCCAATGTTTACAAAAAGTAAAGTATTTAGGACATGTCGCCATCATTTACGGAAATACTGAACTGAGCATGCGCGATTGTATATATACAAAATGCAGCCAAAAATTGACCTAACTTTGTAGAAAATCCTTCCAAGTTATGGTTATTGATACAGTTAAGAAGTCATAATTGCCCAGAATGTGTCGCTGCATCTCTTCTTTTGATTAATGACGATATCTTTTAGATATTTATTTCACTTCATAAAGATATTCACAGAAAATCGGCATCTGTACCCAATTAGGTTGTTTATCTCACTTCGATATATATCAGCCGGACCCAAGTTGGTGTTTCGTCACTAGAGCGGCACTCACTTTTGGTAAAATGTTGTATTTACAGGTATATATAATTTTGTCACCTAAAGACAATATTAACATCATGAAACACATCCAAATAGCTTGATATAATATACATACACCAGTACACCTTAACATTATCTCTCCCTCTCAAACGTACACACAAACACCCTCACACACACCCTTACACACACACAAACACAAAATGTTAAGTATTAAGATGGGGAAATATTTCAAACAATATTATATTTTCTGAATATTGTTAATAATTTTACTTCATTTTCCTTAATTGCTCTCGTTATATTAAATATCATTCTTGAAAAAAAAAATGATTTAAATAACATAAATAACCCACTAAGGTATAAAGAAATTTAAAGTTTTCTGTCGATTGAAAAAGTTCTTGTAAAAGATATTTATTATCAAAATGTAGATATTTTAATCCTTTTGGAAATATTTTTGTTTCATGTGTTAAACGTCTCCTAAAAAATAAACTCCAATGATTTTTTTTAAATGACTGTAGAAATGAGTAATTTTCTAGGCATGGGGATAATTTTCGTCTAATAACCCGGTCAAATTTCTTTTAAAATATAGATCCCCGGTTTGATGTGAAATTTTACGTAGAAAAATAATTAAAATAAAAATGACTCTATATTAATTTGTAAATTTTCCTTCGGGCCTGCATTTATTTAAGGTTAACTGGGTGGTTTTTTTTTGCTGCTTGCTCAGGTCTGAGGGTTGGCTGTACGAGTGCAACCGAGGTTCAAATCTTGATATTGTTGAAAAAACAAGCTAAACATTGGGGGAGTCAAACATCATCTTGTCCTCAGTTGTTACTAGTGTTTTGGTGCTTTTAACCATAGTTTAATTATATTCACAAATGATGTGTTTTATTTTCATAATTATAAAAAAAATTTAAAAGTCTAACAAGCCTTTCTTTACATATTTTATTTGATATTCATATGATGCATTCATTAATTATTTACAGCAAACTTTTAGCCCGAAAGCAACTTATTCAGATATAAATATTTTTTTTTTCATTTTCCTTGAAAGAAATTCATATAAAAAAATTAAGAGCTGATATCGGTCTTTCAGTGCTGAAATCATTTTTAAAAAGGATGACTTAAAAAAGTTGGTGAGGCATTCCACCTTAATCTTATCCTGCTTTGATTTCCCTAAAGCTGAATCAAATTAAATACTAAATTAAAAGGTCACTATTAGCATTAATGTACTGCATGTAAGTGAAGCTTTGTCCCTTTTTCGTTATTGATTTAACAAAATTAAATAGTTTGGTATTTTTCAAATAACTCTATAAAATAAATCAGTCCAAGTAACAAACAAATCTCAGAAGGAATGAAATAACTTGACTTTTTTTGACATTTTTTTTTTCAGAAATCAACGGAAAAGTTCTTTCAATTTCCTTATTTTTGATGGAGTTATTTATTTCAATCCAATCAGTAATAGCATGCAAATTACAAAGCGTTATATCTTTATTACCTTTAAACAGACCAATGACCTCCTTGTGGATGTTGAACTCAAATGCCGTGAATGCAGAATTGGGTCATTACACATTTTCACGAAAACACAAATTCATCGTCGTATTTCTGAATCGATACCAATATTAATTGGCTTAATTCACGATTTGTTATATTACAGATGCAAAATTTCATTGTTTGATTCTCAAAACCTCTATTCGAAATACGCTTATAGAATAAAAATATCCTTGAACATTTAACACAATCAAGCTCATTTAAAGATCTCCAGATAGCTTGCGATCCTCCACTTTGTATGTGATACATAGCATATCCAAAACTTGATAAATACATATCCAAATAAGAATAAATATATTACAAATTGTATATATATATGTTTACAAAACTTAAAGAATTATATATATATTATAATGAAATATGATATAGCATGCGCGATTATATATACAAAATGTAGCCAAAAATCGACCTACCCTTGCAGAAAATCGCTCCAGGTTATGTTCATTGATACAGTTAAGAGGTCATAATTGCTCAGAAGGTGTCCCTGTATCTCTTCTTTTGATTAATGACGATATCTTTTAGATATATATTTCATTTTATAAAGATATTCACAGAAAACTGGCGTCCGTACCCAATTAGGTTGTTTATCACACTTCGATATATACGCCAAAAAGGGGTAGTCCCTTAAAAAAGTCAATATTTCAATTAATTGACAATATACAAAGCTATCTCTTATATCAATGTAGAGATAAAAGGACAACGTTTCACATATATGAAGCATGTCTGTTGATTTTATTAGATGAAGGAGTTCTAGCGATAATAAAAACAGCCCTGAATTAGGTCCGGCTCAAAAACAGCACCTAATTTTCAGCCGCACCCAAGTTGGTGTAACTTCACTATAGAGCATCAGCCAAGTTACAATTTTTTGTGTTAATTTTATAATGGGTCAAGAAGGATAATTATAAATTCTTTCGTACAACTAATTAAGCTTCACTGAGCATGCTGACTGCCATCTTCCTCTTCCGTCATTCTCCAAAGCAATAGGCCGGGAACATTTTGGTGTGAAAGAAATAGAAACACGGGTATGGTGAGGTATTTCCATCCTCACACTTTATAAATTGCATTTGTTTTCACAAAAAATAGTTTAGGTTACATTGTTATGGCTAAAAATGTATAGGTTGAAATGTTTCTTGAGATGTCAAATAAATAAGTAGAAGTATGTCTTAAAATTGAAAACTCAATTAATCGTAGTTAACAGTATGGAAAAATTGGTAAAAAATGGTTTAAATGCATAATACTGGGGCCCGTTTTACAAAAGAACTTACGACTAAGACCAAAAACTTAAAATGATTGTAAAATCTTGTAAAATTAATAATTCTCTGAGAAACTGTTTGTGTAAAAATATCTTACCACATTCCTTTTAAAAGGTTTAAAATAATTTTCTGTATAATGTTAATTAAAAAGTTATATGAATAATTAAACTTGGTCTTAAGTCGTAAGTCCTTTTGTAAAACGGCCCCCAGATTTCTAATAGTTCTAAAAATATAATTAGGAGTACGTAGAGAAAAATACTGAATAAAGATACTTGAGAAGGAGTTATTGCCCTTATCCCATGCTCTTTAAGATTGAATGTTCGATTAAAGAATAAAATTGCTTATTTTTCATGTTCTTTTACTAATCAGTAATTTATATTTTACAATTTGAAAGATATTTGTCCAAACGATGTATTTCTATTGGGTATGAATTTAGATTAACGTAAAATTTTGCGAAAACCTATGACATCACCAGAGAGTGGAAAGACCATCTCAGAGACACTGCCCTTGGCTTATATATTACAAAACTAAAAAGTATAAAAAATGGTCATAGCAACAAATAATTTTTTAAATGGGTATGATAACGCTACACTCAGATACATTGTAATAAAAAAAAATCAAGGAGTGAAAATGAAAACTAAAACATTCCCGGAGTGAAAATTAAACAAGACTAAATTAATAAAGTTTGAGTTTAAAGGCTTAGAGTGCATATTACGTGTAATTTTAAAGGACTTAATTCTAAAGAATATGGTATGCGAAGAATTTATTGTGATCATTTATTTCTCTTTAAATAATGACAGACGGTGTTTTGAAATCCCGTTCATTTTTTTTTCTTTCTCCCTCTTTACAGCAACCGAAATGCAAAAGTTAAACAATGTACCACATATTTTGAAGTCATACATGGCGTATTGCTGATCTTCTACATGTATTGCTTTTTTATATAAAGATAAGACTTTTCTGTAAATTACACAACTTAATCTACTCATATAGAGCTTTAAGATATGAATTTTGTCGAAATCGAAAGATTTTGTTTGATATTACTTACAAAGTTTTGCACTGAATCGTGAAGTAACATAATGTAATGAAATTTCTTTGAATCTTATTACTAGACTAATTATACATGTATTGTTTTTAGTCAGAAGTCACGTGGAAGCATAGACATATTATTTTTGTGACAGATTTGTGGGATTCTAGCAGCAGTTTTCATTTCCTAGCGATGTTTTACACAATTTGTACAAACAGAAATAGAATACTATAAACCGACTTTTATTCGCAACAACCTTATTTCGCAATTTACCAGGGATAAACTAAATTGCGACGATTAATTTTCACGATCAAGCCTTTTTGGGGTCTGTTGTTAATAGACACATACACTTTAAGGACAGGTCTTTCAACCACTATTGAAATAATTATTTCAATAGTGGTTGAGAGTGCATTTAAATACCAAACAAAGTATGCAACCACTATTGAAATACGACCACTATTGAAATGATTAATTCAGTAGAGGTTGAGAATGCATTTCAATAGCAAACATAATATGCAACCACTATTGAAATACGACTACTATTGAAATAATTATTTCAATAGTGGTTGAGAGTGCATTTGAATAACAAACATAGTATGCAACCACTATTGAAATACGACCATTATTGAAATAAAAATTTCAATAGTGATTAACATATAGATTTCAAAAGTGATTGAAATATTGATTTCAATAGTGCTTTAAACAATGATTCCAATAGATATAATATTAAATAAAAGTTGCTGACAATGATTTCAATACCAAAACCACATTGCAAGCTCTATAGAAGTATCCAAAATGTAAGAAAATGCCCATGGGCGACATTGCTCACCTGAATAACTTGGGCGATGCAGTTCGTTGTGCCAGATTTCCCCTCCTCTTATTGTGCACTCGTTCCTTAGAATCTACACTACCCCCAGGATGCTTCAACATATGTTTCAGATTTTATGGCCTAGTTCTTCTTGAGAAGAAGACTTTTAAGGATTTTTCCTTTATATTTCTATGAGAAATTTGGATTCCTTTTTTGGCCCCGACCGACCTCGGGGGTCATGATTTTAACATTTTAGAATCTACACTACCCCAGAATGCTTCCACATAAGTTTGAGCTTTTACAGCCCAGTGCTTCCTGAGAAGATTTTTTAATGACCCACCTTTTTTTCTTTTATTGATTATCACCCCTTGAAGAGGGACTTGACCCTTCATTTTAACAATTTAAACTCCTCATCAACCGAGGATGCTTTGTACTAAGTGGATCAGTGGTTCTTGAGAAGAAGTTGAAAATGTGAAAAGTTTACAGACGGACAGCTAGACAGCTAGACGGACGACGGACAAAACGTGATCAGAGAATCTCTCTTGAGCTTTCAGCTCAGGTGAGCTAAAAACAAATATAAGAATGAATTACACATTCTTTTTTTTAACACAATGAATTAATT